AGAATTTTCATCTAGAAGTTTTGTAGTTTTAGGTATTCTATTTAGAGTTATAATTCAGTTAATTTTTGCACAGGATACGACTATAGATCAAAGATTATTTATTTATTTATTATTGTAGTTTCACTAAAAGTTTACAGAGTAAGCTAATTTTCCATTCAATGATTCATACACATTTTGTTTTGTGACACTAGTTGAAAACCCCTTATTGTAATAGCACCCTTCCCACTTCCTCCCTAGGTTCCCTGGTTCCATTCATCCTTCTTTCCTGTCCCTTCCTGCCTTCTGGACTTTGTTACTGGGTAAGTGCTGTCCTTTAGGTCTTGTATGGTTGACTGTTCTGAGGATTGAATATGTTCTTCATGGGTGTTATTTTTCATTTTATAGGCCTATCTATTGTTTGGCTGAAAGGTGATCGCTGGGGGTGGGTTCAGTCCCAGGTTAAAAGGGTGTCTAAAGGCCAAAGTCTCAGGGGATACCACCAGTCTCTATCAGACCAGTAAGTCTGGTCATTTTTATGATTTTTTCTTTCACATTTTTCTCCCATTCTGTCTAGGATTTTCTATTGTTATCTCAACCACAGTGATTGGTAGTGGTCGCCAGGCACCATCTAGTTCTTCTGGTCTTAGGGTAGTGGAGGCTGAGCTTTGTATGCTCCATTAGTCCTTTGGACTAATAGTTTCCTTGAGTCTTTGATTTTCTTCACTCTTCTTTGCTCTGGACGGGGAGAGACCAATAGTTGCACCTTAGATGGTGGCTTGCAAGTTTTTAAGACCCCAATCATTACTCACCAAAGTAGGATGAGCATATTGTCTCTGTGGACTATGGCATGCCAATTGAGCAAGATGTCCCCTGAGACTATGGTCCTAAGACCTCAAGACCAGTGACTCATTCCCTCAAGGTGTTTGGTTATGGCTAAGAAGTTTTCATTACTTTGCCCCCTGCATGCGCTCTTATATACATGAATAGACTTGCAGCACATACAAATACAAAAAAAAATCAAACCAAAAATAAAAAAAAAAAAAAAAAAAAAAAAAAAAAACCACCACCAACCCAAAACTCACCACTGTCAAGTTGATTTGACTCATAGTAACCACTCTTTGGGTTTCTGAGGTGGTATCTCTACAGAAGTAGATTGCCCAATCTTCCTTGCGAGGAGTGGCTGGTGGGTTTGAACCGCCAACCTTCTGGTTAGCAGTCAAGTGCCTTAGGCACTACACCACGAGAGCACCTCGCATACAAATACATATACAGAAATATCCTCTGCCAAACCTATATACACTCATGGGTATAGTCCCATTTGCCTTCCCATACTTGTTCAGCTTGCATGTCTACTTACGTATCTACTCATAGAATATTGTTTGTCATTACTGTTATTGCAGGATTATGTATGTAATAACATTTATCTTTGTTGCCTTTTACTCCTATATGCCACCCAGTGCCTTCTTTTCCCTTGGTCATATTGTGCTTATCTCCCCCTTACTGTATATTGCCTTTCCTTTCACCAAGTCTACTCTCTAAATCCACCACTTTTGAGTTGTTCTGACTCATAGTGACCCTTTAAGACAGAGTAGAACTTCCCCATAGGATTTCCAAGGAAATAAATCTTTATGAAATCAGGCTGCTGTGTTTTTCTCCTGAGGAGCTGCTTGTGGGTTCAAATCACTGACCTTTTGGTTAGCAGCCAAGCACTTTAACTACTGCACCACTAGGCCTCCTTGTTTATTCTTTAGTTAGTGATTTTCCTTGCTTCCCCTCCCATTCCTGGTAACCATCAAATAATGTTTCTGTGTGTAAACCTTTCCTTGACTTTTTAAAATAGTGGCTTCATATAATATTTGTCCTTTTGTGATTTGATTGACTTCCAGGTTCATCTATGTTGAGATCTTTCACAGATTCATCATTATTCTTTAATGCTGTGTAGTATTCTGTTGTATGTATGTACCGTAGTTTGTTTATTTATCCATCCACTGATGGGCATGTAGGTTGTTTCCATATTTTTGCTATTGTGAATAATGCTGTGACAAACATGGATGTGCATATATTTATTTGCATCATGGTTCTTTGTTCTCTAAGATATACAGTGTGGTAGTTGAGGTTTGTGTGTCAACTTGCCTGGACCATGACTCTCAGTTGTTTAAGCAGTTGTGGTATGGTCATTTCCATGATGAGATCTGATATATATGCTTTGAGCAGCCAGTCAGTTAAAAGGGAGTTTCCTTAGGGGTGTGGCCTGCTTCATATATATATATATA